ACTGATAATTCTAACTATGCTAAATTCTCTTAAGTCCAGTCGATGTCATCGAGTTCATCTAAGAAAACGCACCGGCTCTCCACCTGCTCAAGCTAAACTGGAGGAGAGTTGAGCAAGGTGTAAGTTGAATTTCTGTGCAAGGCGCTCACCATTCTTCGTTCCATTCTGCTGTTATATTACGTATTGTGGGATTTAGTACGTAAATTTTTCAGAAAAAATATTCAACAAAAATTCTCTCTTTTCACTTATTTACCTATTTAACTGAGCTGCTGGGAGTCCTTAGCACAACTGAATTTGAGGTTTGCGCAATTTTTATTACTTCAGCGTTATTTCAATTTATTTTTCGCCAATTTGTTTTGCATGGCTATTGTTATTGTTTATTGTTATTTTTCATTTATTTCAACGTTTGCATAGCTTCTTATAATAGAGAAAAATAATATCATTTAAGTAGACCTCCATCGCTAGCAACCACAACCAACGTAACAAATAAAGGTGTGTGTTTGTGTATAAGTGAAGCCACTACTTTGCATTAATGTTGTTTTTGCAGTAGTAAGAAAAATAATAGAGTAGACGAAAAAAAGCCAAAGAAAAATGCGGCACAAAAAAATTTTAAAAATAAAAATAAATAAGAAAGTGAAACAAAGAGGTGAGGCCAAGTAAAAGTGAGCTTGGCTTGTGTAAGTTAGTGGCGATAATAAAAACACTAAGTTCGCTGAGAAAGAAAGGAGAGAAATAAAAACTTACTAGCACTTTCGACACTCTGGTTTTTGTGGTCAGCAGCACAACTCGTTGCCATTCGACTCAATTCAACTCTCAGTCAGCAAAATCGAATAATTGTCTACACCACTTTTTAGCTGAGTTTTGTATTTGGTTTTTTGTCCATTTCTATGGCAGCATGCACCAGTTTTTAGCCCAGAGCGTTTAGCTATTCAGACAGTTAGACAAACAGACGGATAGACAGCTGCCTTGCAGGTCGCATTTGAGCTGATATCACATTCGATACGACTTTGTGGCTACTTTTTGTACGTCGCCTTTTTTACTGTTCTTCGAAAGCTAATATCGCTTTGGGGGTCAAGCAGCTTGCACTGAGTGTGTGTGCATATCATTTTTTTTTCTTTTGATTTTCCTAATCTGTTTCCAGGATTTTTTTTTGTGGTATATTTTCTTTATTCACCTCTAAGTTCGCCAGCTGCGATAAGCACATGCTATATTAGCGCGTAAACAAAAACGTCCGAATATATGCTAAACAAAAGAAAAGAGAAACAAAAAAATCAAAAAAAAAAAAAAAACAATGACTAAAAAGAAAGCATAAAAGTTTCTTGATTTAGCTGCGCTCGGACCGTACGCCAATAATTTCAGCCGCTTAACCAGACGCTTAATCGCAAGAGAGCCTTTGGCGTTGAGATATTGTATTTTCGCACCTTAATCCCCGAAAATGTTTATCTTTTACTTTGGAAGCGGGTTGAGAAAGAAAGCGGGTTGAGAAAGAAAGCGGGAAGGCAGTGTAGCTTTTGTATTTGCATACAATCTCTCTCTCTCTCTCCTCTTTATTAAGTGTGTGTATATGTGTAAATTTTGTGCGGACGGAAGCAGTGATTAGGCAGATTAAAAATATATTGGTTGAGTTTCGCAAAAATGCAATGGAATTTTCTGGAAACTTTTCAGTTTCGGAAACTCGCTAGCAAAGGCTTCTATTGTTTTCGGATGTTTTGTTCGACGAAATGGTGTTTAATGGATTCAACAATTTATTAATGCTCCATAAAAAAAATGTTTAAAAGTTTTTGCATAAAAATGTATTTAAAAATTTTATAAATTTATTATTAGTTCACAGTACTTAAAAATATACGCTAAAATGTTTAGTAAATATTTCAAAAGAAGTCGTCAGGTGAACATATTTATATCTCTTAACCGGACTCCATTCCCTCCCCTGAATTATTCGAATTGGTTTCCCTAATAGATTTTCCATAGAAAATTACAATAAATAAATATAAAAACAAAAAAACCATTTGTTCTAACGATTTTAAGAAGTGAAAAATATTTTCTTCACCATCGAAGCTGAAAGTTTTCCTTAAGCACTTTATCGCCTTTGAGAGAGGTCGGCGATAAGTCGTACAATTTTCAACTATTTATTCTATTTTGATTTGTAAGTTATTGACATTGACATACCAGCCTCTGAGCATACCTCAATCAGCATGGCCATGTTCCGAGAGGCGAGCAGGCCTTTGAGAATGTCTGTAGAGGCGTGGAGCTGCGAACAGAGCATGCCACAAATTCAAACTAGTTGTCGTGCCAGTTACGGTGGGTGTACGGAATGCTTTCAACAGCGCTTAGTAGAAAAATTTAGAAGAGTTCCTACGTTGTCCGACTTGTAGGAAAAGAGAGTTTTCTTATAGTAAACCGCCGAAGACGACGACATTGCAATGTCACGCCAAAGGGCGAGAAAAGTACAATTCCAAGCTCAGTCACCGGAAACATCAGTTACGGTGGTGTTTTACCGAACGTTATGCCGAAGAATATTTTTAAAAACTTTTACACAAAAAAGGCGCAAGAAACACGATAAAATGATGAGTTAATATTTTTTATTTTTATTCTTAAAATCTTTACCTCTTTTTCCTAATATATTCCTTAATGCTCGAATTGGGTTTTTTGGCTAACTTTCTTTTGGGCCATATTTACGTATCGCAACCCTAAATATTATTTCTTTTTATTCGATTAAAGTTGTTTGTTTACTTTTATTAGAGGCTAAAAATAAAAATCACACTTCAACAGCTTAAGGAAAAATATGTCTACATGAATGTTTATAGGCAACCAAGCAAAGTTGCTAGATTACACTGTGAGACCGTAAAAGGTAGAAAAAAGAAAAGAAACTAGATACATATAAACTTGGCTGTCTTTCACACATATGCATAAACGTGTAAAAAAAAAGGAAAAAAATGATTATAAAAAATCTGTAAATAATAATAAAAACAGACCTTTTCTGCTTAGTTGCCTTACAAATCCACACTAGAAGCTGACCAATAGTAACAAGCCAGGCGCTCCTTTGCCTACATACATTCTCTCACCGAACTCACTCACTTTGTGGTTATCACTTAATAAAAATTTAGTGGCTTTTACCCTTCTCGCGAGAATTTATGTGCTGTGAGCTGTGGCATGTGCTCGTAAGTTTCTTACTCACTACTCGTCAACGAGCAATAACAACAGTAAATGTCAGTAATCAACAGCACCACAATTTAAGTTTATATGCAATGAGTATGTACAAATAGTTGATACTATTTGTGAAGATCGACAATCTGTTAGCCAATCCCTGGCGATTTTACTGCAGCACTTTTTAAAGCTATGCAATTCTCACACAATTTATGTTAAATTTTAGTGTTCTCCTAAATGTATACCACCTTCTTAGTGCGGGAGAAAATGAATATTTATCTTCGATACTTATTTTCGATGTGGTCAAGTGTGTATATATGAATTATTCTTTTTATTATTTTGGTGTACATTTCAATGTTTAATGGTTATCAGATTTTTACCGAATTTTATAGTTTTTTAAAAGTTATTAAAAATTGTTTTATTATCAGTGTCAAAGTAGGTATAGCTTAAAAATATAAAATCAAAAATATAATATATAAAAATAAAGGCCGAAATATAAAAGTGGTTAGCAATGTATATTAACATTCGGAGAACCAGGGTTCTGGTTCCGGCCCAACCAATCTCAAAAATTATAGAAATTTAATTTTTAACCTCTTAAGTTCAGAAAACGATTTTGCTTAGAAGCACATAAGTACCAAAAAGAGAATAGATAAGCGCAGCAAAATTAGTGCCGATCAGGTCATAATGAGGAATTGAACTGATTTAGCTATGTTGGTCGGTCCGTTTGTGTGTATGCAAATTAGTCCCTCAGTTTTTGACATATTTCAATCAAACCTAGTACACAGCGGCACTGGTGTATTTAGACTTTAATTTGTGGGAACCAATCATATTGGATCACAAATAAATAATGCTACCGAAGATCATCAAAATCAGAGGACTCACATACAACCGATTTCTTCAAGTGCTAGATTTTTGATCTGCGAAAAAATCATCTATAACCGTTAAATTCCCAGCTCTAAAAACGTATCTTCAAGTACATATTGGTACGAAAAACCAATTATATCGGAAATCTTCATCAAATAGCTTATTCCGATCAAAATTTTTAGGAATGAGACTTAATATTTAATCCTTAAATGAAATATCATACATTTATATGGTCATAAGAGGCATAAAGGACTTCACCATGGGCAAAAATAGCTCTTCTGTCTGGTTTTTAATGCGGTCGCGAATGTATTTATTACATGAAGTAGCAGCTTAGAACAAACTGAGACCTTCCTCCATTTGTCATCAAGACCCAGGCTATTATGGGAAAAGGTCGGTCAAAAATCATTTCAGCGGTAAGTGACAGTTGTATATGTATGTTGTTTACATAAATATATCAATTAAATGCTAAATTTAATTTCAGCACTTACTTCATCTCTCTATTATACTTTGAAATTTTCTACAATTTTCTTTCGCGCTATGAACACTTCAACCTTACTGACTTTACGTCGAACATGACAGCGACAAATTGAAAATGTCAGCGTCCAGCGGCCGCAAACGAATGCGATTCGATGGCATCATGACAAAATTTCTCTACATAGAGAATAATCCGCTTAAAAACACAACGACGACTATGAGCGGCTAATGAAAATGTTTGCAAAGACAGAAATATATGTACAAAAGCGTATACAAGTATTTAGTTTTGTTGTTGTTTGTAAAATATCAGCCTTATGTGATTGCAATTTAATTCAATGAAGTAATTTAAAAGGATTAAACTTCAATAGAAATTTTTGGAATTTCGAATTTGCTGAAAGTGTGGTTGGAAAAAGAATATTGATTTCTATTTATTCAAAATTAAGTACTGAAATTATTTAAAAAGTAATTTGGGTTTTTTTTTATTTTATTTATTATCTTTGTATATTTATGTTACTTACGAATTTAATTCCAAGTCTAAGCGAAACTTATGATTAAAGGCCTTAATTAAGAGTGAGGTGCGATGAAAGTGTTTCTGAAAAGAGAGAAGTTGAGATGAAATTAATTAAAAATTATATATATTTTCTGAAAAAATTAATTACATATATATTAGTATGTACAAAATACATACAGGTGTTTAAAAAGTAAGATTTATTTATTTAAAAATACCCCTAGATAACAGTTTCGATAAATTATTAATTATTTGTAAAGGGGCTTTGTCCCTAAAAACCGTAAATGACTTGTTCCAGCAAAACAGTCAGGCAAGGGTATTTTTTCTAAAAATTTCTTCTTTCATCCAGAAAAAATCATGTCGGACGGCGTTTATCAAAGAACATTAAAATGGCATTAGGTTATACAAAAAAAATAATAATAATCTAGGTTAATCAAAAAATTAAAAATAGAATTATAATATTAACAGAAAAAATCAAAGACAATAATCGTGGATCCGACAGTGGAAAATAGAGAGGAGTTTAACCAAAGAATCGAGAAAATCTCAAAGTATTAGTTTCAAAAAACAAAAAAAAAAACTGAAAATTCTCCTACTCTTCTCAATTTATTCAAAAAAAAAAAAAAAAAAAAAATTGCAGTTTCTTTTCTTAATACTGCTACCTACGAAAACCAGCTTGAAACAAATATAATGAGAAGAGAACCCCATTATCTTAAGTGTAATATCTCTTAAGAGGCAAGCTCAAGTCTAGTGTCTAGCTCTTCGAAGAGAATTTACCTTATAGAAATTTTGTATCGTTTGGGTTTGAAGAAAAAGTTTACAAATTATTGAATTTTGCATTTTAATGACAATGCAATGGTACTCAGTGCTTTAAGCTTTGCTGCTTTCATATTTTCTGAAGTTAAGGGCAACCAATCTGCCGTTTTGCACGGCTTTTTTTTGGCAAATTGGGTTAAATAATTCTTACAAACATTTCAGTCTCTGTCAATATTTTTTGCAGATTAAAATTAAGTTTGAAAAAAATAATAATATGAGAAGTAGTCCTATTAGAGATTAATTTCAGTTTAAAAATCTGCTCTGCTGCCTTTCTGCCCGATAACTGCTTAGGGAGATATCGGTGATTCAAGAAAGGATATATTCTCCAGAAATCAGTGCAGAGAAGATTTAAAAGCAGGATATTTGACCTACATTTATAATGGTTACATTATATGTGCACTCGTATGCACTTTAAAAAACTCTTCTGGAATGGAGATTTGAAGGCAGATACAGAACAAAAAGAAGAAAATTAAGACGATTTGCTACACATTTTTATTTAATTTTTTGAAATACAATACCTACAGCAGTTATTTTAGAAAATACAATAGTCATGCTCACATATTTTAAAATGTTGGAAACTCCAATTCCAGGGGGTAAATTTCTGTACGAAACAGAAAGATGGTCAAACAGATTGTCAAAGAAAAAAATGCACAATTTTTGTTTAGTATGAAAACTTTAGTAATCATTTGTAACGAATTATTTTCTAAATTAATGTAATTTTTTTTTAATTTATCGGCACTTAAAACTTAGGCACAGATATGTGAAAACATGTTTTTTTTTTTAATTTATAAATATATTTACTATGTTCAAATCTTTTTGGATTATCTTCATGCTACGTCATAAAAAAAATATATCTTAAATGAAATTCTTCCGAAAATTTTTACAATAAATAGAAATTGGAAAAATGAAGGATTTTGGGTCTTTACATTCGCTTGTCACACGAAAAGCTAGAGATCTCGAAGAATATTCAGAAAACTATAAATAAAAATTTTGCATATAAATTAGTCACTTCTTAATTTTTTTTTTGTGCTCAAAGCATAAAATCAGAAATGGAATTAAAAATTAAATTAGTGGTTTTAGTAGTAAAAGGAATCAATTATTTATTTTTCCCAATTTGAATTTTGAATTGTATAAGTCCGATCGAGTTACGCTAGATGGCGTTGTAAATGTCTGATTCAGTTTCGTTTGAGCGTTCTTCTAAGATGGCCACTAGCAAAGAGGGAAACACAAGCCAGGCGACTAAAAATACGAATAGTCTAGGGTCCTGATACTGTCAATTATGCACAGTTCCAGTTTCATTCCAGTATTTTGATATAAAAGATGTTTCACGGAGTGGAAGGCCAATTGTTGATAATATCGGTAAAATTATAGACATTGCCGAGTCCGAACTTCATGTAAGCACTGTTACGACTGCCAAAGAGCTAAAGATTGCACAGCAAACCGTTTAGAACCATTTGGAAAAGGCTAGAAATAAAAAGTGAAAATTAAAGCCTTATATTTTCTTCAAAAATAGTATTTCAGTTTGGCTAAATATTTTGAAAATAAAATAATGCCGATTTACTTGATGTAATTTGCTCTTAAAGCATTGAAATATGGCTTATTCCCCCTGAGAGACATTTTTCTTTTAAAATTATGTACTCATTGTTTACTCCTCGAAAAAAGATTTTCTGTAAATTAAAGGTATATTCTAGCAAAACATGCTATTCACCGCCTCAATGGCATACGTAACCGTCATTAGCATTTGCGCAAAACTTATAATGAGAGCTTTACCTGTACCAACTAATGAAATATCTATAAATATACAAACAAACCACCTCACAAACGTACATTCACATATATGTACATGCACGCAACTATGTAGTTCACCGCTGTGTCGGACAGTCTGCTGATGAGTCTCAATAGCACAACGCTGTTAACTGCCTTGTAACTTCATAGCGCCCAATTGAGGTCAGCGGTAGAATTGAGGAGCGATCCATTATTGCATGCTTTGCCAGTCGAGCGGATAGTGAGCGAAAACATGTGCCTCAATCACTACACCACACCAATGTGTGGAATGTTGCACGTTCAGACAGATGTATGCGCAGCAGATATGTACATATGTACGAGTGTATGTAGTGCACTAGGCTACACTAAAGCTTTGTTCAAACGATCAAATGCATATGTTGTTGGTATGGAAAAAACACTAAAAACTGTTGTTCGTTTGGTTGAATATAAGCGTTCAGTTGCAATGAGTTGTTTGTATGATGTGCATACGTAGAGAACACAGACACACACACACACACGCAAGTTGCATGGTGTAGTAAAGTCGATGTTGTTATTATCGCTTTCAGTGCAATGTAGGCACAGAGCGTGTGGAGCTCAGCAATTGTTGGTGGATAGAGCAGCTTGTTGTTTTTGCAGTTGTAGTCGCAATAATGTGCCACTTGCCAAAATTGTTTACTCAGCCCTCCTCCCTCACTTATATGCATAATGACACGCACACTCCTCCCTTCATGCAATTTGGGTGCATTTCCCTTCCAAATAATGCAAAATATTTGCGCATCTACAAGTGCGTGGCATGCACAACTTTTCAGTTCATTCAAATGAAATTTTCGAGACTGCAATAAGGGATTGGAATTGTATAAAGCCTGAAGTCATATGCATATTCGCATATTCGCATATTCGCATATTCGCTCACTTCTTACCTCTTCCTCTTTCATATTCGTCCGCCGAGAGCTATATAAACAGCCATGAAAGCGTACATTATTGCGCTGTAAAGTGTCATCAACATCGACCAATACTCCAAGCAATATGTGGTGTCACAGACGTCGACATTTGTGACAAATGAAAAACGAGAGAAAAACGGAGGAATAGTTATTATCAGCAAAAAATATGAAGTGGCGGAACATACGAAACGAAAAAAATCGTTTGAAGGTCGCTGCAGTCAATATAAAATTGTCTCTTTGTTGACAGCAAATAATTGCGATTATCTTTATTTGACTTCTGAGAAGTGAGTATGGGAGCAATTATTTGTGTGCTTTTTGGACTGTATCAGCTTTCTTTAATAGACTTTACTTTTTTAAAAAATTCAGAAAATTTTCTGCTGTAAACTTTTTATTTTCATTTTTTAATATCAAACAGCAGCGATACTTTGGAATGCTCGCTGAAAATAAACATTGATTTTTGCATCTTTATGTTATGCAACTCCAGTGAATTCCTGATATATATAATTGGCTTTTGCTCCCTCAACTTGTAGTTATGCATCTTGGTGTTTTTTCCAATAAATGGAGGGACCCACCATTTATACTGAGTCGTCTCCGTCTGGCTAATGGCTAATTGGTGGCAGTTCTGCTGAATTATAAATTCAACCATTCCGGAGTATATTTGACAAATTTGTATTTAACCTGCGTAAGACATATGTACATAATATTTGTATATATAAGAAAATTAGAGCTGCCATGCCCTTTTTTGGGAAAATATAAACCTTTTATTACTATGCACTACATACTCCTGCGAGCCTATTTTTTACACGCTTTGCTCATACCGCTGGTGCCTATAGCACAAAATAAAATATTGCACGACGGCAGTGACACGAAATTATTACGATATATATATAAAAGAAATCGTTTTGCGAATATCTCATATTTATTTTATGCAGATATAATTTTTGAAACTTTTAAGCTAAATTTGTAATAAATAAATATTGTCATAGTGATTATTCTATTTAGTTTAATAAATTCGTATCATTCGACTTTTTAATTTATTTCACCTCTCCTTCTTCTAAAAAATTAAAAAAAATAATCGAATATTTTTTTTCCTTTTAATTGCTAGAAAATACTTTAAGAAATAATAAAGAATTAGTTTCGAAGTTCCATAAGACCAAGAAGTAGGTATAAAAGAGGGTAGAGTGGAGCGAGCCAAGCGCTAAATCCCGCTGGAGTACTTTAATCGCCTCTTACTCGAAACCATGTTTTTTCAACTGGTATCTATTGCGCTTATACAACATGGACTAGACAACATTTTACTCCTTAAATGTTTATCTATGGTCGCTACTACAACCAAAAGTAGTTATTTAAAGAATTTATAAACAGTTGAAATTAAAAAAAAAAACGGTAAAAAATAATTGATTTTTTTTTGTGAAAATATTTCATTGTTGTTCTGGTCCATGTTTCAGCAGCAATATTTAAGATAAATATAATGCTTTTTAAGTAATATTTTTATATTGTACGTCTATTTATTTACAAAAATTGTGATTTATACAAATTTATTTAAATAAATGAAATTTATTTAGT